CCCCCAGCCCGGCTGCCTCTCTCGGCTCCGGCAGCCGCGACCATGTTCCAGCCCGCGACCAAGCGTGGCTTCACCATCGAGTCCCTGGTGGCCAAGGACGGCGGCACCGGCGGGGGCGGCGGGGGCACGGGCACCCATGCCCTGGCGGCGTCCGCCTCGGAGGAGCCTCTCCGGCCCACGGCTCTCAACTACCCTCATCCTGGCGCCGCTGAGGCTGCCTTCGTGAGCGGCTTTCCCGCGGCGGCTGCCGCTGCGGCCGCAGGTGCCGGCCGTTCGCTCTACGGCGGGCCGGAGCTCGTGTTCCCCGAGGCCATGAACCACCCCGCGCTGACCGTGCACCCGGCGCACCAGCTGGGCGCCTCCCCGCTGCAGCCCCCGCACTCCTTCTTCGGCGCCCAGCACCGGGACCCGCTCCACTTCTACCCCTGGGTGCTGCGGAACCGCTTCTTCGGCCACCGCTTCCAGGGTGAGTGCGCGGGCCGGCGGCCTACGCGGCGGGGAGGCTGGGGGCGCGGGCCGGCTCCCAAGTTGTGTTGACAAGGCTCCGCCCGGAAGCGCCTGCCGCGCCTTCAATAGCGTCTTGGCCGTATCATTGTCCCCAGCACTGGGCTGGGACCTCCCGGGCTCTCCGCGGAGCGCATGCCGGAGCCTCCCCGACTCTCTTCGCGGTCGGCGCCCCCGGCAGAGCCAGCCGAGCCTTGCGCGCGCTCCAGGAGCCCAGCCCTGCCCGCGGCCCCTGCACCACCTCCGTTCTTATGCGCATCATCAAGTCCAAGGGCCCGACTGCGGGGCCCCGGGCAGGCGAAAGTCCATCGCGTTCCGCGCCAACAGGGAGGGGGCCTCTGGGCGAGACTTACGCCCGGGTCCCTCAACTTACACGTGCCGCTGAGACTCCGGATGGGGGAGGTTTGCAGACCCAAAGTGGCTTTGAGCGCGGCTGCCTCGATCCTGGAGGTCACCGGCTGCTGGAGGACAGACGTGGTCCTTCGGGTCAGGGGGCGGGTCGAAGCCAGGCCGGACCCGGGGTAACACACACACACGTCAATTATTTGACTTTCTGAAAGATAGAGAGTGGTCTTTGTTGTAGTTCGTTTTCTTCTTCAATTTGGTTGGAGTTTGTAATCCTTTTTTAAAAAGAAAACAAGAAGTTGGCCTTAGTTTGCGCGTTCATTGCTTCGCTTTTCGGTTTTGCTCGGAGGACGCACTCCGAGGCCTGGCTGCACACAGCTGGGTGTCTCTTAGTACAACAGACGGGAAGTCTTCACTGGCTTCTGGTTGAACGATGGTAGCCAGGTCGACACAGTCGTAGAAAACTGGATGTTTGAGACAATGACTTGGGTCGCAGAAGGAAAATGGTCTTGGAAAGCTTTGGCTGGAGCTCCTTGACTGTTTTACAGAAAGCTGAGCTGGGTACTGGCTGGTCTGTTGACAGTTTTCTGGGTCTCACTCGACCTCTATTTGATCTCGAAAGAAACGTGAACCGTTTACAGGACAGGGTGACTCGAACAGGAATTTTTCTGGGCAGACTTTTTACTTCTTTTGGGTAGGGTGCATCTAAATCACCGGGAAAAATCGCCTGCTCTTGTCTAACAGAGCACGCTTCCTGACTGAATTGGGGCTTTATTTAAAATTTAACCAGCTGTCCTGGTCCCCCGAGGCCTCTGTCCCTGTCACAGCGGAGTGACTGTGGTTCGTGAGTGGGGACTGGGCTGGTGGAGCACCGGGGTCGAAGGAGAACGCGTCTCTGGGAGCGGCTCCTGTCCGTGCAGCCGCCCTCGGATGCCGGCCCCCGGTCTGTGCGCATCCCCCGCCACCAGCGTGCATCGAGCCTCCGCGGAGCCCTCTTCCGAGCTGCCGCGGTTCCCGCGCCGAGTCGAGTTCCACGCTGTCGAGTTGAGCAAACAGTGCGGTTTCTCTGGGAACCCAGTGTGGCTGCGGGGAAGGAGCCGAGGGCGGCGGCTCTGACCCGGGGAGTCCGCGCCCTGAGGGGCTCGAGCCTGAGCGGTCCCCTCACCGACCAGCGCCGCGAGCCGCGCAGTCAGCGTCCTCGGGGCTGCGGGCCCAGCGCTCCCCGCTCCTCGGGCGCCGTGTTTTCTAGGGAGCCGGGCTTCGCGCTGCTCATTTCAGCCGAAACCCTCCCGCAACGAAAACCCCGCGGGGTCGACGCTCAGCCCGGGCCCCAGCGCGCGGAGGCGGTTCCGGCGAAGCGGCCAAGTCGGGCCCGGCCGGTGACGGACCCCCAGCTCGGCCAGCTCCCCAGACCCGCAGGGCAGGGACACAAGGCTGTGGCCGCATGTCGGTACCGCTTCTCGGAGGTCTGAAACTTTCCGGCCGGGAACGTGGCTCGGAGGGGCCGAGGGAGACTCTGCCCGCGGGGCGCCCAAGGACGCCTTTGTTCCAGCGGTTGGAGGGGCGAGGTTATCTCCGGGACCGGCCTCCCCACCCGCAGCCCCAGGCTCTGCCGCCCCACATCCGGCCTGGCGCCCTTGACAGCCCAGCGAGGCCTCTGCAATCAAGACTACAACAGTCTGAGCCCCAGGCTCGCGGAGTCTCCCACTTCCAGCTCCAGCCACGTCCCTAAACCTCCGCTACTACTCTCCGAAGCGGCTGCAGTGGAGAGGCTGCGGGGAGTGAGCGCCTCGCTCCAGGGAACGCAGTGCGCACCCCTTTCGGGCTGCCCCACAGCCGGGGTCACTCCGTCCATCGCTCCATCGTGGCCGCACTGCTCTGCCCGAGTCCCATAGGGGAACGCTACAGACCCCAGTGATGGGAAGGTTCAATTGGAAGCAAGTCAGGCCCCAGGGCACCAGCCTTCGCAGCAGCTGGAAAATCTGGCCAGTTTCTCACAGGGGAAAGCCCCTCATTTAACATCGAATAATTTTGGTGTGTTAGTGCCTCGGATAATTTTCCAGCCTCTGGGTGTTTTCTGTTGGGTGGGAGGACACTTGGGTTTGTATGTGTGCTCTGGGGCACAGATACACCTCGGATAGGTGTCGCCTTCTAGCAGGTGGAGATGACCTGTACCCAGTGAAGCAGCACCTTTGAAAAACCCCAGCCACCCCACAAACAGCCAGACCTAGGGAGTGAGTTGTGTGGATGTCAGGAACCTGGGGAAGGTGGCTGCCCCCATCCTCCACTCTGGGGTTAGAAAGGAAAAGCACCTGGTGGCAGCCCCTCCACCCTGCCTGGCACAGCCTGCACCCACCCACTCCCACCTCACTCTGACCAGTCCACAGTGGCCAGCACCAGGCTGGCTTCCTCTCTCTCCTCTGTCCAGAGGGAATCATTCCCTTAGGGTAGGGTTCTGAAAGATGCTTCCTAAAGCGGTTCATTTTAAAATCAAAAGGAAGTGTTTATGTCCACCACCCGCTCCTTCCCCTGGCCCTCCACACTGGCTCCAAAACTGCAGACTTTCACCTCCTACTCTCCTGCTCAGCTTTAGCCACGGTCTCCCCTCCTGAATCCAGTCCCTCCAAGACTCCAAGTTAAACTTCTTTTCCTCAGTCAGGTCTGAACATTGTGGTCCCGCCTTGAGGGGTTCACAGGACAGGGGATCCCCTCCATCCCTTTTCCGTTACAGTACAGATACAGCCCCCTTAAGATCCATAACGTCAGTGACTGCTCCCTCCCATCTCCCCAAGGTACCAGCCCCTCACCTGGTTCCACAGAAAACCCCATCCATCTAGGGGTCCAAACGAAGCCCACTGATGTGGAGAAAAGTCTCCAGTGGTTTACGCACCAGAAAGGCATGCACCATTACCTGGGGGGCTTATCTAGTTACCTGTCACTGCTTCCTTTATATAACTAATCCCAGAGGTGGGAGAGGTCAATGGAATTACCCAGGGAACTATCTCCATTGCAACACAACAGGTCAGGCGGAATCCAACCACCGGCCTTCTCTCTCTCAGAATCAATTCATTGGCTCCATCAACCTCAACAGCGAACTCTGTCACAACACTGCACAACATTCCATCCGGCCTGCCCGCGTGCTGTGTGTGCTCAAACCACACTCCATTCCTCCATTCATGCTCCATTCCCTGGGTGACCATCTCGGGACTGTTGAGAGTCTGCACACACATCACTGAAGACCTCTCCAGGCCCCTCGAGGCTGGGGCCATGCACAGAGCTTGTTTTAGCTTCTCCAGTTCATGACCCCCCCATGAATGTAGTTCATTTCCCCCTCCCAGGCCTCATTCAGTCCAGTGTCCACCCTTTCTTTTTTAAGGGTGAGTGCCTAGGTGACCAGCCTCTGCCCTGGGACAGTCAACAGTCTTTGAGAAGCCTGTACCGTAGACAGGACGAGACAGCAGGGCAGCTGGAGAATATGTTTACTCACGCCCAGGCAGAAACCAATATATCTGTATCTATATATATTAGAGAGAGAGATGACATGGAGATATTTATACGTGTGTCTCTTCAGCATGGGACTATTCAGGGATGATGCAGGGTATTTTCCCCCGGGTGGGGAAGAGTTTAGGCCTAGGGAGAGAAGAGGGGACGGTGAGAGCAGGCAGCTGACCAGTCTACTGTTTGGACGTTGACCTAGCTCCGGTCCATGCATTCCACTTAAAGGAAGAATGTGGCAGAAGCCAGTGGCCTAAGCATCCAGTTGTCCGTCTGCTTTAAGCAGGGGTGAAGAGAAAGCTTCAGGGGTGTCTTCTGGTTCCCAAGTCTTTTTGCAAGGGGAGTTCCTTACAGTGACCACTCAGAACTGACCCTCTGGGAACGGTTTTCAAAGGCTAAACCACAGAGTGGAGACTGCCCCTTTTTCTTCTCTCAGAGCCGGAGGTGGATTCAAACCACCACCAGAATTTGGGTTGGCAGCACAGCTCCTTATTCACCAGACCACCAGATCGCCCAGCCTTGAGGGGCCCCTTATAGCCCTCTTGCCACAACTTTTGGTCATTTCCAGGGAAAGGGACAGTGACTGGGTTAAAAAGCAAAAGCAGCGCGTCTGCTCTGTGGTTCCAGCTCCGGGCAGCTCATGGGGAGTCCCTGGGAGAGACCGGTGGCAGCTGCCTCTGCCAGTGCAGGGCCTTGGAACCCCGAAGGTGCGGAGCCACTCGACCTGAACAGCCCCTGCGAGCAGAGCAGGGAGAGTCAGCGGACAGGGACAGACGTGGTTGGAGGCTTGAAAAGCAGATCGTTCTGGGCCCAGGGACAAGGGCAGCGTTTCTGGGAAGGGCTGGGGAAAAGGGTATTTTCTTAGGCCACTGGCACTTCCCTAGCCCAGCCCAGAGCTGGGCAGGCCTCAGTCTGCTGGAGAACTGGGGAAGAGCAGCGGAGGGTAATGGGGAGAAGTGGGGCTTCTGGACAGGCGAGGGAAACCCCAGGGTGTATGGGAGGCCAGTGGAGCGCCCGGCTGGCCTCACGCGCCCTTCTCTCTGTCCCCGCGCGGCCCTGGCGGTGTGGGCACAGCCAGCGACGTGCCCCAGGACGGGCTGCTCCTGCACGGCCCCTTCGCGCGCAAACCCAAGCGGATCCGCACGGCCTTCTCGCCCTCGCAGCTGCTGCGGCTGGAGCGCGCCTTCGAGAAGAACCACTACGTGGTGGGCGCAGAACGAAAGCAGCTGGCCGGCAGCCTCAGCCTCTCTGAGACGCAGGTAACTTAACGCGCGGAAGGCGGGTGGCCCGGGGTTGGGCAGGGGTGACCCGAAGCCTTGTCTCCACTACATCAGTTCCCCCAAATTCTTGCCTGTTCAGTCCAAAGATCACCCCACAGGCCTGTCTTTATAATTCTTTTAGACCAACTGCTCAGCGGAGCTCAAACACAAGATATGCAGCATCAGGGACCCAGCCAGAGGGTCAGTAAATGCAGACCCTCACCCGGAGTCCCGGACAAGGAAGTGCCAAGTTATGGGTGGGCTGCAGCCCGGCTGCCTTGCACTCTGGGCCACAACAATGGACATATGACTCTGGCCCATTCTGCTAACTGCTCTTCTGGGGCACTCACTAGTCTGTGGCCTGACCATGGTCTTCTGGAAACCTGGTTCCCAGGGGGTTCAGGGGTAGATGGTTGGAAAAGAGATCTCGGACCACTCTGAGTCACTTAAAGTCCAGTGGAAGCAGAAAGGGACAGTGGTGGGCTTGGGGAGCGGTCTGAACTGGGTGGATTCCCTTGACTATGCAGTGCTGTTGTTGATAAATCATTACCTTCTTCACATACAACAATTAGAAGGGGGTTGGGGGGTGCACGTGGATTCCGGTCTGCTGTAAGTTCCCTGCAATATGAGACCTGCAAGCAAGGCTTCCCCCCTACATGTTATAGTCCTGAGGGGGTCTGGTCAGCTCTGGCCTTTAGGGGGAGAGGGACCCCCAGCGCAGCATTCCAGTTTCAGCTCCCCTTTTCCTCCTTGCCTCTGGAGCCATCCTACCCACCCCCACGGCCACGTCAGTCCTACCTCTACCCTATCCAGTACCCTGTACCCACCTGCACCCTGTACCCCAGGTGAGAGGGCAGCGGGGCAGAGCTGTAACACCGTTGGCGGTGCTGCAGACAGCTCCAAGGTCTCTTAGATTCTGGGGTACAAAAAGGGTGGACTTGGGGAGCCTCTCAGGATCTCTCTTGTTCTGTGCAGCCCCCAGCCTTCACCTGTATCTGCGGTATCAGCTCATGTCTCGCTTCCTCATCACGGAAGCCCTTCTACCGGCCCTCACTCCTTGCATTTTCAGACCTGATCCAGGCATTGTTCTAATTGCAGAGACAAAGCTTCTGAAATAATGGCATTGATTCCTGAAACAGTTCAAGGGAAGCTATTTGTGGAAAGAAATAAGTTCCTAAATAACCCTTTCTTTCCCCCTCCCAGCAACCTGTTTTAAGACTGTTGTTTAAAACAAGGTGTCCGCTTCAGACCAGTGAGTGTTATAATGAGCTCCATTTAAGAAGTAATATTTACTAAGTTTTAATTGCAGAAGTGTAAGAAAACAAAATCGGCTTCTAATCCCACCACCCACAGATAACACTTGTTGAAATCATGTCATTGTTTTGAAACTTTCTGCTTTAGAACTCGGTGAGAGCATTTTTAATTAACCTCCTTTCTAACAGAATCTAGCTGTCTGTCAATATTTGTTCCTATTAATGCCAGTTAATAAATGGACGATTCCATTTTTCTTAGGAGATGCTGCAAGAGTCTATCTTTTTTAAAAAAGAAATAGATTACTACTTGCCCAGCATAACTAGTTATACAAACTCCTGGTCTAGGTAGTGCTATCTCTAAGTGGGTGGATTTTACATATTGAACACAACCAACAAAAATGCCTTTGATCTTAAAAACCTCACCTTAAGAAGTGGGGATCATGTTACTCCAGACATGGGCAGAGCCCACAATCAAACAAAAGTCATTTCAAATACTTGCTTCCCTGCTAAAACTATGATGCTGGGAAACTACCCAGCCTTGCTGAGCTTCAGTGACCTCATCCATAAAATGGGTTATTTGAGAATTAACTTATTGCTGTTATGAATCGACTGACTCATAACTCACCCTTCCTACTGGGTTTCCACGGGAGACTGTCAGTCATGGGAGAGGACTGCCCATGGTGGATTCGAACCGCTGGAAAGGCATAGGCTGTTGGGTTCACAGTGCAACTCGCTATGGACTGGGCCACCAGAACTCTCTTGCTTGAGAACTGTTGTTAAGTGCCGTGGAGTCGTAGGCGACTCATAGCGACCCTATGAATGAAAATCCTCAATACCTGTGTGACTTTCATCCTTTCTCCAGGTTCATAGGGTTTCTGGAGGCAAGCTATATACGGAAGTGGATGCCAACCCCTATAAACCCAATCCTACCAAAACCTCCTATAAACTCACTGCACTCAAGTTGGAACTGACTCACAGCTGACCCTCCAGCTGGTTTCTAGAAGCTGTATATTGTGTGAGAGGAGACCACCCAACCTTCTGCCTTGCAGCAGCTGGATTTAAACTGGTTGCCTCTGGGTTGGCAGCACAGCTGCCCACCCACTTGTTGAGGACAAATAAATTGGAACCTGACTCATAGCTGGTCCTCTAGCAGGGTTTTCAGAGGGAGTGAATCACACGAGATTTGACTGCCTATCCTCCTCTGGTAGAGCCGCTGGTGGATTCGAACGTAATACCTTTGGGTTGGTAGCACAGTTCCTTACCACTGAGACACCAGTGCTCCCTCCCTCTCACTAGGCCACCAGAATCCTAGGCACCTAATAACAACACAAGGGGGCCCCAGTGGCCTAGTGGCAAATACTGCAATCCCAAAGGCACGTGGTTTGAATGCACCAGCTATTCTGAGGCAGAAGGATGGGCAATCTCCTCCTGTGCAATTCACTGCCTCTGAAAACCTGCCAGAGGGTCACGTATGAGTTGGTTCTGACCTGATGATACACAACAACAATAACACCAACAATAACAGCGACAATATGAGCTTCAGAAGGGCCTCTGGTGGCAGAGTGAATAGTATGCTGTGATGCTAACCCCAACGTCAACAACTTGAATCAGCCAGACCCTCCTCTGGGGAAAGGAGTGCAGTCTTCTCCCAATAAGATCGACAGCCTCAGAACCCGAAGGGAGGAGAAACAGAATTACTATCAGTTTTGCTGCTAATCAGAAGGTCAGTTTAGATCTACCAGCTGCTTCCCAGGAAAAAGATGTGTCTCCTCCCTTAAAGATTCACTGCCTTGGAAGCCAAAGAAGGGTCCCTATGAGGTGGAGCTAGCTGACCCCAGTGGGCTTTTGGTTTTTCACATGAGTTTAGGAAACCCTGGGTGATGCCGTTAATAGTCTCAGCTGAAAGCCAAAAGGTCAGAGGATCAAGCCCAACCAGAGGTCTCTTGGAAGAAAGGCTTTGGATCCATTTCTGGAAAATCAGCTCTAGTGCAGCTTCCACACCCATGAGTTCACCATGAATCAGAATTATGGCAACTAGTTTAATGTGAGCTGAAAAGAGCACATGATGTCCATGTCCAGCCCCTTCCTTCCCCTTGTTTAAGTAACAGGACAAGGTAGTGTCATCATCTGGGCCTGACCCTCCTGCGTCTTTTCACATTTTTCCCAGAGTCATCTTTGTCTTCTCACCATTTCTCATCTGGATTGAGGCTCTCTAACTAATTACCAATCCATCTCTCCACACATAACAGGCCTGCTTACCTGTGTTTCCCTCTGTCAGCTCCTTGTCAAGCAGCGGTCAAGTCCTTCAGCCCCCTGCCACAGTCCTTTTATAATCAAGATCTACGTCTGTCCCCTGCTGATAGCTGTTTTGGGTCTAGCCAGCTACTTTCCCCTACTCTCATTAAACCACTTCCCTAAGGCTGGTTCATTTAGACTTGCTGTTAGCTGTACCTTCTTCCTAACACCAGCATCTGCTTACCCCTCAGATGACCATCTCTTTAGGATCTCTACGTTGATTCGTGTTCTTTGCATCTGCCATTCATCATGGACAACCCTCTCTCTTCCTAGGTCTAGTGAGTAACTGACAAACGTACTCAGGTGTCAGTTCCCGATATGGGTCCTCTGCCTGGACTGGCATCTCTGTCTTCATGACATGAATGACATGAACTCACAAGTGCCTCCCGCACGGCCTCCCTCCCCAGCACACAGGACCCATCTCATCTATGCCGCGTGCACCGGCCTTTGCTCTTCTCTCTTGTTCAGTTATCAGCCTTGCCCACATGACCAGCTTCCCAGATCTGGTAGACCAGCCCCCACTGAGATCCCAACATAGCGACTCCTGGGCCCTACTCAGGATTCTCCTCGGAGGTCCAGGATGGTGCCCAGGAAACAGATTTTTCAAATAGCTCTGTGTGTGGTTCTGACAAACTCTGGGAAGCAGAGACTGAGCCTGTCTGCTTCTTTTTAAACCTCCAGGCCCAGCTTAGCGCCTGCAAGGAGATGGTCAAAACCTGTGTATTGAACGAATGAGCAAACTTTGCCCCATAAACATCCATGTTGACTTCAGCAGGCGTCACCCCCTGGCTCACGGCTCTCTCCACATCCCTGTCCTTCCATGTTTCCCCTGACCATCTTACTCACTCATTGCCGGCGAGTTCAGAACCGACTCAGAGCTGACTCCCCAGTAGTTTTTCGGAGCGTGTGCATCTCACAGGAGACTGCCCATCTTTTTTCTCTTGGAGCTGCTTGTGGATTCGCACTGTCGGAGACACCACCTTTAGGTTAGCAGTGCCACTCCCTACAGACTAGGCCGCCCGAGCTTCCTTCTTGTTGGTCTAGATGATGCACATGGCAGTTTGTGGCGAGAACTTGAGGAACGGTTCACTAGATCAGTGTGTGAGTTAGTCCAGAGCTCCAGGGTTGGCACTTGGTGGGGTGGAACTGTGTGTGTGTGGAGAGTGGAAGGGGAGTGGTGGAGTCAGAGAGGAGGGAAAGAGCCGCTGGCAAGAGTTCCTTCTCTCTTGACATGTTCTTCAGACACCCATAGTCCCCTAAGGCAGATTGGAGCCTTGAGCGGGGATGGGGGAATTGGTATGATATGTGGGACACATACTGAGTCTCGGGCCAGATGAGGACACGTGTATCCATCAGCAGGGGCTCAGATGATCTAACCGTAGACCCTTGCGTGCTTCTATCTCTGTCGGGGGTAGGGAGAAGAACATGTGGTTGCTCCAGGCTAATCAATTGGTTGGTCTCCAGCTCCCCTTTCTGGCCAGTCCTGACTCTGGCTACCCCACTGGGTGAGCAGCTCTACTCAGAGGCACGTAGAGGGAGGATGCATTTCGAGTATTGTTGAGATCAGGCTGTGGGGACATCTGAACAGGGTTTTGAAGGCTATGTAAGAGCTTCAAAATGTGGGTGACTCAAGCAAAGGTGGAAAGTTTCAGAAGGTTCTGGCTTACAGAAATTCAGTGAAAGGACTGATGAGACCACAAGGGGACCGTGTGGGGAGTCCTCCAGCCAACACCCCGCCTGTGTCCTTGGGGGAAGCGATGAGAAGGAGGAGGTGGGCCAGAATAGGCACAAGGTGGGCTGAGCTGAGGCCACGCCCTGGCAGACCACTTCCTTTTCTCCAAGTGACAAATAACTCTGTCGTCAGATGCATTAAGGGGAATTCTGAAAAGTCACCCGCATTTCTGGACCATTTCCTTCCAGTCTCTTTTCCCTCCACGCATAGATTTTGTTTGCCTGTGACTGCGTCCACGTTGCCAGCGCTGCGCCTCCTGCCTCCCCCACGACTGTTATTAAGTCATAAACAGCCCCCTGTTATTATATAGTCTTTGTAAACAGCATCTGGGCTTGGGCCCAAGGCTGTTCTCTAGATCACCAGGCTGTCTAGGGAGAGGGTGTACATCTGCAGGGACCTCAAACCCTAGTTTGAGAGCCCTGACTCCTGGGCCCCATCAAAGTCTTCCAAGTTGCCTTTCACCTGGGCATGCCAGGAAGCTCCTGCATCTGAAACCATGTCCTGTCTCTACATGTCCACCCCTGGCCACCTCTTTTGGCCACCATGGCTGGCCAACATCACATGCCACTAGAAGTGAGTATGACTGGAAGGAGACTGAGGGTGCGAAGTAGGAGAAAGGCACAGAAGAAGGTCCCCAATCCCCACTACTGCCCAGGACTGCCCATCACCCCCGTGGGCAAGCAGGCTGAGCTCAGCCTCAAGCCAGCCACTCATGCTCCCCTCTAGCCCTGAGTCACCCGCATGCCTCACACAGGAGGCAGGGTGGGCTCACCACCTGCTCCCTGCCATAGCCACAGTGGGCTCCAGGGTAGGTGTACCGAGAACCACCCATGGCCCAGCCAGCTCTGCATCATGGAAGAATGACCATGGGGTCCAGAAGCCCCCTCACTGGAGCACTGGCCATCCTTCACTGGTCTACCAGAAATGAGGCAGGTTGGAACCCTCCCTGGAAATGGGGGACAATCTTTCCTCCCCGTATTCTGTCCATGGAGAATGGGTACTTCTTCCTAGGCGCTGCCCAGGGATGGCTGGTCTGTGTAGCCCTGGGCACTGGTGTCCCCCACTACCCAGTGCTCTGGAATGAGAGGTGAGCAGGTGCTGCAGAGGCAGCCCTGGGATGAGGGAGCCCCACGTGAGGCTGGGTCTGTGGAGGGAACAGCAAAGAGTGTCTGGGGAGGAGAGAGGGGGTGGGATGTCCTGGGCATGATGCTGCCCTGGACCTGGAGGTCAGACCTGCTCTGCAGTTGCTAGCTTTGTGATTGAGGCCTGTACTCTGGCATTTCTAGAGGTTGGGGGCTGACTGAATGGTCTTTCTGAGGAACACTGCCCTGAGCCCTGTCTAGGGTTCAAGGACTGCCCCATAGAAGTCACTAATCTGAGAAAGCTAAAGTCCTCAGTGCCTTTCACCTGTCCCACCCACAGCCTGCAGTCGCCCCTGGTCACTCAAAAGTCCTAGGCAGACTCTTCTTGCTCCTTGTTCCCCGGTCCCCACCCATACCTCACACTTCCCTTCAACACATCACCACCTGTCAGGAGGGGGCCTAGGAGGCATCTCTCCTGTGGATGAGGATGTGGGGGCAGAGAGGGCAAGCTGTCACCCAGATGTCAGCACACGGGCCCCCCTGGCTCTGAGGATGATGGTCCAGTCTAGCTCTGCAAGGCCACGTCCTGAGCCATGTGGTCACGTGGAGGGTCACACAGCCAGCTCTCACATGGGCAGGGAGCCAGGACGGTCCTCTCGGATTATGCACAAGAGGATGCTGAGGGCTGTGCCCCAGACACTTAGAAAATGCTAGAAAGGGAGAGAGAAATGATTCGAGATAAGACTGGGTGTCAGGAGACTTCCTGGAGAATATGGGCCGGAATGAAGAGATCCCCTTCCCCCCACATGCCCTCTCTTTAGTCTGTGGAGAGGGGGCTGTCCCACCTCTCTGCACGCCCCATCAGGCCTCGTGCCTGCCACAGAAGGTCCCTCCTCACAGTGCTTAGTGACGACCTTGACTCCGTGGCTGGCATTTCTCCTACCTGGATAGAGGCTCTGTGGAGTGGAGGTCCAGAGATGCCCTGGAGGGCAGAACACTCGGGGGCGGCCCAGACATGTCCTTGCCCTCCTCTGTCCGAGGAGGAGACTCCTTGCTGGGCTTCACCGCGCTGAGGAGCTGGCTTTGTGGCTCCTCCCTGCCCACCTCTGCTTCTGACATAGGAGGGAGGGGTCCCAAGGGAGAACCTCCACTGAGGGGTTCCACAGGAGGCTCTCCACTGAGGGGTTCCACGGGAGGGTCTCCACTGAGGGGTTCCACGGGAGGACCTCCATTAAGGGGGTTCCATGGGAGGGTTTCCACTGAGGGGTTCCATGGTAGATCCTCCATTGAGGGGGTTCCGTGGGAGGGTCTCCACTGAGGGGTTCCACGGGAGAGTCTCCATTGAGAGGTTCCATCGTAGATCCTCCATTGAGGGGTTCCACAGAAAGGCCTCCACTGAGGGGATTCATGGGGGTTCTCCATTGAAAGGCTCCATGGGAGGTTCTCCATTGAGGGAATTCCATGGGAGGTCCTCCATTGAGGGAATTCCACAGGGAGGTTCTCCACTGAGGGAATTCCACAGGAAGGCCTCCATTGAGGGATTCCATGGGAGGTCCTCCACTGAGGGGGTTCCATGGGAGGTCCTCCACTGAGGGGTTCCATGGGAGGCCTTCCACTTGAGGGTGTTCCACGGGAGGACCTCCATTGAGGGGTTCCATGGGAGATCTTTCACTGAGGTTTGCTGATGCAACAGATAGTGTGGGAGATGAGAGACTTCACGGAGGGGTCTGTGTCCCCAGGCGTGGTCTGGCTGTCCAGGGACTGCACTTGGTGTGGACTCCACTTCTTGTTGATGTGGCCATATCTGCACTGCTTTTCTCCGCAGCTAGTGGTTGGTACTGACAGCTGGTAGATGCACAGACCTGTCCAGGGTGTGAGGACCATGGGATCCCCAGCGAACCCACTGGACCCAGACCAATGGCTTTCCATACATTTCCTCCCTCCCTGCTCATGTCAGCACTGTGGAGGGGTGATTGTTATCTCCATCACAGAAGGTGCTGGGGACCCAGGTGCGCTGGCACCAAAGCTTTGACCTCTCATGACTAAGCTTCAGCTTCAGAGCAGGATGCTGGTCCAAGAGAGCCTCCCTGCTCTGGGCCCCTCCTTTTCCTCGCGCTGATCCCAACTCAGGGGCACCTGAAGAGCAGGCCTGCGGTGACCTCAGCGGGCCGGCCAAAGGACAGGCTTACCCCGTGTGGCTTCGCTCTCCCCATCTGGCTCCTAGCCACACCTGAGCGGCTGCCCCTGGGTGTGGCTCACCTGTGCCCTCTCCCTCCCTGGCCCAGGTGAAGGTGTGGTTCCAGAACCGGAGGACGAAGTACAAGCGGCAGAAGCTGGAGGAGGAGGGTCCTGAGTCGGAGCAGAAGAAAAAGGGCTCGCACCACATCAACCGATGGCGCATCGCCACAAAGCAGGCTAATGGCGAGGACATCGATGTCACCTCTAATGACTAGGGTGGCTGGCCATGAACCCACAAATGCAGAGTGCTGCTCGCTGCTGGCCAGGCCCTGGGGGGCCCCCAGCTGGACTCTGGCCACTCTCTGGCTGGGCTGTGGGGAGGCCCTGGGTCATGGCCCCATATGGCTTGGAATCTGGGGCCACCATTGACGGAGGGACAAGACGAGGGCCAACTGAGGCCTGGGGCTGCTCCCCCACCTCTTCAGAGAGCCTGCCCACCTGGGCCTGCCGGCCACCACCCAGCCTCCCGAGGCTCTCGTTTCCTTTCTCTCACTGCCTTTTTGTTTGATGCATTTCTGTTTTAATTTATTTCCAGGCGCTCACTGTAGTTCGTAGTAACTCCCTGTACCTCCCTTCCCTATGGGAATAAAGTCTCTCTCTTCATGATTTGGACATCTAGCTCCAACCCCAGAGCCTGGGGCCTGGGATGATGATTCGGGGCTGGGGGCAGCGGGCAGTGGCTGAGCTGGTTCAGGGTTGGGAGCCAGGGGTGGACAATGGCGATCCAATTCATGACACCCTTGCTCTTGACGGTGGTCAGTGCTCGTCTCTGGCCTCAGCTCCGCAGCAGAGGAAACCGAGGCTAGGGCAGGGGATGACTTCCTTGTGTTTCGAGGGCAGCTAGGTTTGGATCTTTGCCCAGTGGTCACAGCCCAGGTGGCTTGGCGAGGAGAGATGGAACTTCTCGTGCTTGGGGGAGGGAGACTCTGGCCTCCTACTTTCTGATGCCTTATCCAGTTGAGGAACCAGAGGTGAGGGAGAATCTGGGGGTCTGTTAGAGCAGACGCCATTTACAGAGGCTGATAGCCCCAGCACAAAGTCCTGGCCCCACCAAGATGCTCCCTCACCCCTGGAGAGGCCTTGGGGGCGGATTAAGACTTGAGGCTGAACCTGCAACCTGTCCCCAGGGACTCAGGTCCCCTTGACCCAGAAAAGAGCAACAGGGCAGGGCCCGCTGCGCTCCTTAGCTCACTTGCTGTCCTTCTGTTTGTTCATTTTTTTTCTTTTCTACTTGGCACCTAAGAAGGTCTATCTCCTGACAAAGCAGAAACTGTACTCCTATTAGCCTCCCTGCTGAATGTCCAGAGTGGTCAGTCTCCCCTTCTTCACTTCCTGTATGTCCCCACTCTCTCCTCCTTGGCCTCCATCCCCCCACCCCACTTTCAATGCTGAAGATGGTCATCAACCAGTCGCCACCACTACCTTCTTGTGGCCAAACCCAAATGCTTCTGAACTGGGTTCATGATCCCTGGTCTGCAGGATCTGGCACTGTGACTATTCTGTCACCTCTCTGTCCTGGGCCTTCATGCTGGCATGTGTGACACCACTGAGTTCTCTGCAGCCTCCATTGGCCCATTCTGGCCCTCGGCCCTCCTCTCTCCGTACTTGACCTTGACCTGGAGAAAGGGCTGCATTCATTTGTCCTTGGCTCTCAAGTCCACATCTCCAGCTACTTAGCACCTTAAAACCTGTCCACAGTTAGATGAATCTCCTCTCCTGGTCTCCCCTAGGATATTAGCTTGACAAACAGCATTAGCCAGGTACACTGCGTTGCAAGCTAGAAGAAATCCTGGACCACTGCTCGCCCGCTTCTCCTTGCACCGACATGAGGCACCTTGCATCCACACCAACTTCCCAGCCACACGGTTTTGGTGCCGCTTGCCTCAGCAATCCTGCTGCAGCCCAGGGCTGCTCCCTGGAGGGAAGCAGGCATGATGAGGCTCCCGTGGAGGCTGAGGACTCCACGCTAAGGGGAACCTCCATGCCGAGGGGGTCTTCTCTTCCTCAAGCCCACACAGGAGTCCATTCTTGTCCTAACTTCACCACTTTGCTGCTTCTACCCCACCCCTGGCCTCTCCTACCTCACTCCTGGGCCCTCCGCACCACTCTGATGCGTGTTCTCCTTGGTCCCGACTGAGCTAAGGGTTTCCCTCTGCTGTGCCTTGGTGGACGTGGTTCTTGCTGTTAAGAGTGCAAGGATGTACACTGCGGGTGCTTGATGCATGTTCCGGTCCCTGGGTAGCTGTGGAGGACCCAGCCCTAAAGCCTGGGCACACACTGGGGCTCAGTCACAGGAAGTCCTCCTGTAAGGAACAGACCCCCATTCTGCTGGGACCTCAGTGCTTCTCCCTACACCCTGCCCACCTCACCACATCGTCCATGCTAGAAACCAAAGGGCTCGGCCTCACTCCATAACCAGCCCCTCACCAACCGGAAGAACCTGCCCATCATGTCCTCAAAGTCCAAGTTCAACCACATGGCAACTCTCACTGCCAAGCAGATGGAATACCCTCCTGGGAGCGTGTGAGCACAGGTGGGGTGATGATGGGAACAGACACCTCTTTTCGGTCCCTGTGGGGACAGAGCCATGACGAGCTGTTCCCTCCAGACTCTTGCTCACTCAGTAGGGGGAGAGGGGACAAGCGGGTCACAGCAGAGCACGCTGGCTTCCAGATAAATGGCTGGAGGGGACCCAGGCCAACCTGCCACTCTCCCCAGGCCGGGCCTGCAAGGGGGTGGGGAGGGGAGTCCCCACAGCCCCTTCCCTGCACCCTCCCATGTTGTGACTCTCCCTGCAGACGGTAAATATTGGTGTTGTGACTTCATTAATAAAGGCTTCTGTGAGCCTGAAAAACATGGAATCAGGAGGAACTATTTTCTGAGCTGTGGGCTTGCCAGGTTTGCTAATTTGGGAGTTTTTGGGTCCTATCCAGGGAACAAACCGAAGTCTCTCAAAGAGACACAGATGCAGCCGAGATGGGGAGAAGACAACGAGGAGGCTGCGCCCTCCCATCCCCACGTGGAGACCAGGGCCCGGCACGAGGTGGGGGGTGGGGGTGGTGGTGCATGGACCTCAGCCGCCCACCGTCCCAGCACGGGGGTCTGCTCACCACACCCTCACCAAGGGACCCCAGGTCAGCTGAGCTGGCCACCCACGTGGCCTGCTGACCACAGGTGGAGCTGTTTGAGAGGACCTATGAGAACCTCACGCCACAGGGACCTTTGAGGCGTGCAGGGAAGCGGATCCTAACCCTCTTGGTCCAAGCCACACGATTCGCTAACAGGAAATGAACTTTACATTTCCCCCGTCCATAGAACTTTCCAGAATTAGTCCCCAGCCTTCACGCTGCCATGGCTCATGCTTTTAGCTTCTCCTCACCACCTTTGCATGGACTCCTCCTGGCCAGTGCTGCGAATGCCCCGCCCTGGGCCTCAAGGTTGTCTCTGAGCCCCAGGCTGGGAGGTGATGAGGTTTGGGGGGCACTCCCCGAGTCCTGCCGGGGCCGTCGTGGAGAGGGGAGGGCGACCAGCAGGCCCAGCCAGCTTCCCTGTCAGACGGGCGCTGCCAGAGTGGAGCCAGACAGCGGGAACAGGTTTAACCAATTACCCGGGCGCCCCATCTGCTGTCTGGGGCGCGTGTGAGGGCGAATGCATGCGAGGGTGTCTGGGAGTGTGTGAGGGCGGGGCGGGGGCGCGTGTGGCTGTGGGTGGGTGTGTGTGGGCAGGCGACTGTGCACGTGTCCCAGTCACGGCTCCTCCCTCGTCAAAGACCATGGCAACCAGCTTCGTCTTCCTGTCCCCCAAGGCCTTTGAGTCCCCTGGGCAACTATCCTGGGACCCTCAAACTTCAGAGCCCAGACCTGCACCTCCTCTCTAATCACAGAGCCCCCCTTTGGGCTTCTCCTCAGCTCCCCACCCCCCTGCCCCTCTCCCAGGGTTCAGTCCACGGCCCTCCTGGCCACAGCCCGCTGTAGATCTGACTGCTCCTCATCTCACGGGGCCTGCGTGATGGAGCCCCAGCCCTCTCTGAACGTGCCACTCTGAATCCCTAGGACGTGTGTTGGAGACACCCTGGTGTCAGGGTTGTCTCCAGATTCAGCCAAAGCAAATCCCATTGCCAAGTCCACCGCCATTCTCCCAAGGGACATCTCCAATTATGACTCTTCTCTCTAAAAGCATTTCCTCCCTCTTATTATAAAGAGGGGTCTGTTTCTACTGTCTCCTTCCTATCTGTCTTGTCTGTTCATCTATTTCTATCTTCAGAGAGGAAGGAGGGACCTTTGAGTCAGACAGGGCTTGGTGGAACTGGGCAGTGCGAGAGGGTTTTACTAAAGGAGCAATTACCAATTCTGTGAAACCAGCAAGGGCTATGGCACGTCCAGGCGAGCAACAGGGCCTCCTGATGGACCTCAGGCCTGAGAGGCACGACGGTGGAGAGGCCAGCTGTGGCCCTCAGCCGGAGGCATGAGGTGGAAGGAATACATCAGGTTTGTCTCCTCCGAGCCCCAAATCCTCCAGTTTCCTGACGGTGACTCCCAGTGTTGGAAGAATATGACAAATGCCTTTGGGTCTGAACCTCAGGACTGAGTGAAAAAGGCAGAGAGAGAATCTGAGGGTGGGGCCTAGGGAGAGAGCCTCACACTCCTTAAGCTCCACCCACTGACCTATCCTACCTTCATCAGTTCACCCTCCCACCCGCCCAAGATACCACCTGAGACCCTTCTCTCCTCCTCACCAAGGTTCTGCTCCTCACCCAGGGAACCTCATTCCTCCCGCACTCTTACTCTTCTGACTCTATACTCTCTTCTGACTCTCACCCGTAGAGTTTCAATACACCCAGAGGTTTCTCATATGATACAACTCTGCATTGGAGGTCTTAGGTGGTACAAACAGCTAATGGACTTGGCTGTTAACGGGAAGGTTGGAGGTTCAAGTCTGCCCAGAGGTGAACTGGTAGACAGTCTGGGGATCTATTTCCACACCACCCCGTCATTGAAAACCCTCTGGAGCACGGTTCTACCCCGATCCATGTTGGCCACCAGGGGCCACATCACCTCAATGGCTGGTTTTTAACCTCATGCCACGTGCACCTGTTGTTGCACCTTTATGGCCCTTCTCACAATAACATTCCTCTGAAGACTTGTCTACACTGTGGGTCAGTGACAACCCTACAGGCTCCCAACCCATGGACCCGTTGTCCTGACCACGTCACTGG